TGCAGCTTTTGCTCTTCCAGAATACAGAAGCAGCCTGAAACCCAATCTCAGCCTAACACACGGAGGATGGCACGTTGGAGGAAAGCAGTCATGGCTGGCTTAGCTTTGTCCTGTTGACCATGATGAGACGTGCATCCTTGCAGAACTGAGAAAAAGACAGGTAAGACCATGAGAGATCTAAAGGAGGAAGATTCTTCAAGAAGGCTCCAAGCTCACAAGTGAAATGATTATGTTCAGTTATACGTAGCTGAGTAGCTGCCTTACAAAAATCTGTAGTGACAGGAAATACAAATAAAAGAAATTCATCACTAAAAGGCCCTAGTCAATACCCGCCCCCACCTGTCCGCTACCTTTACTGGAAAGAACCAGGTTCATTCTAAACACTAGAGTCCAGGGTAGGCTAGAGAGCTAGCCCTACAGGTGCAAGCAGCAGGACTCTAGCTAATCAGTGTCATTGATTTTTATCTTGCAATCTAATTGGAAAACAACATAATTACTGCATGGACCTTATTCTGCTTCTACTGGTAAATATAGAGGGGCAAATGTTACATGCATTCCAACAGGTGATATTAACTAGAAAAGATCTAATTACCGCATCAAGTACAACTAGTAGGATCACTGCAACAATGCTACAAAAATTTGCCAAATGCTGTGATTTCCTCAGAACATTTGCTAAAATGTGGAGAGATAAAACCCAAAACACTTGAATTACAGTCTTCTACACCTGTGGATTCCATATGTGTGGATCCAAAATATTTAGGGAAATTTTTGTTTTGTCTCTACTGAACAAGTCTGTCAAGGCTTTTTCTTGACATAAATCTTTCAGTAATACAGAAGAAAAACTGTTTGCCCAGCATTTACACTGTGTTGGGTGTTTTAAGTTACCCAAAGATGATTAACACTGTACAGGAGGGTGTGCTTTGGTTCTGGCAAATATTTGTCATTTTATTAAGGGATTTAGAAAATGAGTATTTTGGCATCCACAGCAGGCAGGCCTCTCTGACTTTGGATATTAAGGAATGCATGCAAATGAATGGATGCATTTCACAAGCGGGAACGCTCCTGCACTTGTCAAACACACACAGAAAACATGGCCCATGATTCCATGTATATGAAGCCTCACAACAGGAAGGAGTTATCTATAGTGGAGTTCTCACCTGGGGAGCTCGGGCTCTCCTGGGGTGGATGCTGATGGAAGCGGACAGAGGCAACTGCTACTGATGGCCATGTTGGGGGTAGAGGCCAGCGATGCTGTTAAATACTCTGATGTCGGGGCACTGGGTACATGGCTTAGGTAGACTTAGGTGAATGGCACCTAATTACTGCCACTATTGCACTGTAAATGTATCCCCTCACCTATAGCTTCACTACATTCACCTTCCTGGGATGTACCTATGCCTTAGTCAGGACCAGGAGGAAGACGACACCATCATGGCCACACAGAAGTTAAGAGGAGCTGTGAAAATCCCAAAGGGTTTTACATATGACACACATGATACTGATAACATGGGAGGACCCTTTTCACTCTTGACCCTGCTTGAAGATCCTTTTAGAACCTGTTCTTCAATCCAAATATAGGCAACTCTATGTCTTCTGGGTGGGTTGCTCACATTCATGTGAATATATGGTCATTCTTTCTTTTAAATAAATCCTGCCCTCATCTGTGCATGGCATGTATGCCTTCGCTCGGAATTCTTACCTCTGTGGAGGCAAGTACCTGGAACAAAGATGACAATTCCTAGGCCACCAACAACCCCATAACCCTCTCAGCACAGTAGACTCAGCAAAGAATCCTCAGTCCCACATGTCTACATGCCCGAGCCCAGGCTGAGGAATCCTGCCCATTGGTGGTCTAGTAGTGGGAATGGGGCTATAAAGGGTAAAGAATAAAGAAACCAAAGGAATAAAAAAAAATTCTGTGGTAGTAATTGTTAAAACTATCAAATTATACACTTAATAGGACTATACAAATTTCACCTCACAATTGATGGTAAAAAATGTGTGTGTATATATATATTATACATATATATATTATAACATAAACACATGTCAAAGATTTATTATCTGTTTTAATTGGTAAGACAGATACTCAGAGACAAAGCTCTTCCATCCACCCATTCACTCTCCAAGTGGCCACGATGTTGGAGCTGAACCTATCTAAAGCCAGGAACCATGAGCCTCTTCCAGGTCTCCCACATGGGTGCAGGGGCCCAGGGCTTTGGGCCATTCTTTGCTGCTTTCCCAGGCCACAAGCAGGGAGCTGTCTAGGAAGTGGAGCAGCAGTGACATGAACCAGCAGCCACATAGGATCCTGGCACATGCAAGACAAGGATTTTAGCCAGCAGGCCAAGCAGCAGGCCCTAATTCTTGTGCTTTTAAACCTATGTAGAAGGGTAGGGCATTTGGCACAGAAATGAAGATACCACCTGGACATCAACCTCCGTTATCAAAGAGCCTGGGTTTGAATTCTGGCTTCACTTGCAATTCCAGCTTTCTACCCATGCACACCTTGGGAGGCAGTAAGTGATGGTTTACTTAGGCCCGTTCCTCCACACACAGGAGAGATCCTGATTGATTGATGGGATTCAGCCTCGGCCTGGCCTGCCCTAGCTACTGAGCACATCTGGGGAGGGCTGTGGACAGTGGTGTAATTGTATGGGCTTGGTTCACAGTTCATGCCTCAGCTATTCCACTTCCAAGCGGGGTTCCTTCTGATGCAGAAGGGAAAGCAGTGTTTGGGCCCCAGCACGCACTTGGCATATCTGGAAGAAGCTCCTGATTCCCGGCTTTGACCTGGCAATTGTGATAATCTGGGGAGTGAAACCAGCAGAAAGATCTCTCTTAATCTTTATCTCTCTGTAACTTTGCTTTACAGAAAAATTTTAAGAAGAGCCTGGTACAGTAGCCTAGCAACTAAAGTTCTTGCCTTGCACACGTTGGGATCCCATATGGGCACCATTTCCAATCCTGGCAGCCCACTTCCCATCCAGCTCCTTGCCTGTGGCCTGGGAAGGCAGTGGAGGATGGCCCAAAGCCTTGGGACCCTGCACCCGTGCGTGAAGGCTCTGGATTTCTGGCTTTGAATCAGTTCAGCTCCATCTGTTGCGGCCGCCCGGGCAGTGAATCATTGGACGGAAGATCTTCCTCTCTGTCTCTCCTCCTCTCTGTATATCTGACTTTGCAATAAAAATAAATCTTTAAAAAACTTTAAAAAAAATCTTTAAAATATAATGTAACTATCCTCTGTCTATATCTTTATATTTCCAATACCTAAAGCAGGTCTCAAGCAAGATTTTAGAAAAGCACATGAGTACTTAATTGTGATTTTTTTTATTTCTAAACTTAGACTATTTCAAGAAACACTAAAAATGTATAATGCAAGAACATTAAAAAGTAAATTTTTGCTGCAAAATCCTACTATTTTTAAAATACTTAGCCAGTTTCACTTATTACTGTCAATACAAAAAATTAAGGGGAAATTTTCATTCTAAAGAGTGATACCGAGCCATTACAAGGCAAGCTGAAAAAGTTAAGTGATCCTGTAAATGCATGCAGTTATGGGGAGGGAACTCCTTTCATTGTCTGAACACGGCAGACACAGAAGCTGAGTGGCACTCAGGTAGGCTCGGTCACGGAATGGGCCGCACAGTGTGAGGAACTATTACTTTAGAACGAACTGGAGAAACATTGTCCACACACCAAACACGGAAGAGCTGAAGGCACCAATGGAGGCTTTGAAGACACCGTGGACCAACCCAGCAACCTCCCAAGCCTGTGCCTTTGCAAAGGGAACATCCCAGAAGGTCTGGAGGAAGCCCCAAGGGCTTGTCAGGGAAAATCATGAGATAACTCAGATTCCCTCTCTCTCTCTTTAAACCTACCTAACAACTTTGCTATACTGTTCTTTGGCACCCAATACAGTCCTTTCAGGTCAGCAATGAGAAAAAAGCTTTTCCTGAAAAGGAAGATTACCCTACAGCCTGAATAATGAATTAGACCTCCTGAGGAAAAATCCTTCCTCCCCAGAGGGGGATGTGCAAGGGTTTTATGTCGCACCCTTTGCACTTCCATGACACGTTTGACAATTTTACTGGTCTCATTCAAAGGCAGAGAGGAAAAAATGAACTAAACGGCTGCTTCAAAATTAATGGTTACCAAACCCAACTGGTCTCTTCCAGCACATTGAGGCATCTCATACCCCCAGGAAGACTCACACCAAGCTGCATGCCAAAAGGAGACATTGGAGATCCTCAAGTTGGTACGACAAGGCTTTTGAATACTAAGGAACACATACAAACATGTGGATGGGGCAATTACTTCATACTGTTAGAAGTCCGTATGTCAGGGCACACAGTGGATGCCCAAAGCCCTTCCCAGATGGGGACAGCGCTGCAGGCAGAACCTGTCTGGCTGGCTCCTGGCATTTCCCGTCATGGTGAAAGGAAATGAAGGCATTGCAACTGAATCACATCGATTTTATTTGAACAGATCAAACGCTGTGCAGCGAAAACCTCCCAGTTCTGGAGGAGAAATCCGTCTCAGAGACAAAGGGTCTTACGTGCATTTGACTTTGCAGAGAGAGGGCGGGCAAGCCAGAGCAGCCAGGTCGCCTGTTCTGTCTCTGTCCTGACTTTGAATCAGAGAGAATTACTGCGGGCAATTTCAGGGAGGCAATTTCCTGGTACTGTGATTCAGAGGCTGGAGAATAACAAAAAGGCTTGCAGCCAGAGCCAGTTTTCGAGAGAGACTTCTGGAGACAGCCAGCAGCCTGGAAACTATCAAGATGTGTATAGATAAGGACAGCGATAAGGCAGCCCAGCACCGGCCAAGCGCCGAGGCAGACACAGCAATCACTGCGGAGCGCGCCTCTCGCCACCGCCCCCAGACAGCCTCCCCACCCGACCCCCACACACACCCTAGACTCGGCACCCGCCCGCTAGTACCCCTGTTCCCACCGGAACTCCTTCCAATCCTGTCAGTGACAGGCTGCGTCCACTTACTGAGCTGTCCCCCGCCCGACGCGGTGCTGGGTTCCCGGCCTCCCGCGCCTCCGACACCGGCTGCTCCAGGGATCCCCGGCGCCCCCAGACCCGGCGGGGTCCCACTCTGCCTCTCGAAGTTGCCTGGGTTGGAGAAGTAGTCGCGCAGCCGGGGCAGCTCGCGGCCGCTCTCCAACAGCTCCGTGTGCAGCTCCAGGGCCGTCAGCAAGTACTGATCGCGCAGCAGCTGAGCCGCGATCGCGTCAATGGACAGCCGCGCCGGGGTCTCCCCGGAGCCCCCCAGGGCTGCCGCCGCCGCCGCCTCCCCAGGGAGCCCCGGCCGTACACTGCTCCCCAAGGCCACGGGATCCTGAGGCGACAGCGAGCCCGCAGAGCCGGGATCCAGGCCACCTCCGGCACCTAGCCGAAGCCCTGCCCGCCGCTCCTCGCTGGCCGCCACCTCCTCGTCGTCCTCGTCTGAATCGCTGAGGAAGGGATTCACACCGCCACCACCACTGCCACCACCTCCCGGCGCCATCGCCGCCATTTTATCCTGTCAGGATGGTGGGCGCCTCCCTGACTGGCGCTGACAGGCCGCAGCCTGAATCCACTCCTGGACTCAGTGGACACGGCGCACCTCCACAGCCCCGGCCTGGCCACTCCCGCCTCCACACTTAGACAGCAGGCTCAGGCTCGAGGGCACGAAGCACGGATGCTGCAGCACAGAAGCTCCACAGCCGCTGCTGCACCAGCAGCCGAGCTCTGCAGGCGTCTTCCTGGTCTCCAGTATCGCGAGATCTCGCGCCGGCCCTGACCTAGCCCCGCCTTCCCGCCACGCCCCTGCACCTGTTCCCAGCGCCCCGGTAAAGATTGAAGGACCCGCTCTCCGCTCAAAAGGGAAACCCCGCCCCCAGCTCCTCTGTGATTGGCTGGACTTGCTGGGAGCAGGAACGGGAGGGGGCTGGCCCGGGGGCTCTCGCGATAGCAGCTGGGGCCTGACCGGTGTCGGGGGCGTTTCGAGGTGCAGGTACCCATGCGGTGGTGGACTGGAGGTCCCCTCTCGGGAGGAGGAGGACCCTGGCCGTTGGGGAGTGCTGCCCGCGCGCCGAGGAGGCCTCGTTCGCGAGATCCGGGCAGGTAAAGGCCAGGGACTGATGCGGCCGCTGGGAGGGTGGCCACGAGTCCGGGCCGCGCCGCTCCCTGGAGTCCGCCGCCTGGACCTTCTCGGCCGCGGACGGGCGCTTGCCCCGCCCTGGGCTCACGTGCCCGCGCGCCCGGAAGGGAGGCTGGCGACCTGGGGAGAGCCCTCTGGGATCGGCCGTGGTGCTGTGTAGGGTTGGGTGCGAGGTGCGGGGAACAAGCTGGGAATGGAGCAGCGAGGCTGTGAGCTCCCCGACCTGGACAGCTCCCGGCGCTCCGTCAGCACTTCAAAGCCATCAGTTCACCTGTAGACAGGGAAGACTGAAGTCCTTACAAGTTCCATGAGCTGGTTAAGTCACCTCCCCGAAGGCACTGCCATCCTTGTTGCATCCCTAAGACCATTCTGTTTTTTCAAACCCTGCAGACTTTGTCGTTGGGCCATCTAAACTAGGATCAAAGTTTTGTTTTGCAAGACAACTATTTTAAAAGATGCTTTACGGAGTTTTGGTTCTCACTATCGACCAGTAGTAGCACGTAAAGTTGGAAGATTCATATGTTTATCCTTCTTTCCAAAAGACTCGCTTATTTGAAAATCAGAGTTACCAGGAAAGAGGGAGAGACAGCGCGAATGAGATCTTCCGTGCACTGGTTTACTCCCCTGTGTGGCTTCAAGGGTCATGGCCCAAGCCAGGAGCCTAGAGCTCCATCTGCCCCCCCATGTGGGTGGTTGGAGCCCCAGGACTTGGGTCATCTCTGCTGCTTTTCCCAGGCCGTTAGTAGGGAGCTGGCTGGGAAGTGAAGCAGGTGGAACACTGTGGGTGGGTTAATGCACCATCACAGTGCCAGGCCCACTGTTTATCTTTTATGTCATGCCTTGGTTACAATCTGAAGCGTACTAGGAATGTTTGACAATGAACAATGCTCAAGTCTTTCTGATTGCTTCTGTTTTCGTCACACACGCATTGCCACCTTTGCACTTTCACCGTTTCTTACGGTGCAGCTACTAATAATCACACACAAAAATAGGCAATCGTAATCATGAGTCTCAAGGAGGCTCTGTATTAATTGAGTCACTAAATTATCTCATTTAGCCCTGTGGAAAAATAGAGCATTCTTATATAACCCTAGGTCAGCTTGTTGATTTACTTGTAGAAGTATGTCAACAGGTAAGTGGAGGCTTTAATTTCAGCTTGCACTGGCTCAGTAAACTAAAATTTCATTTGAACGAGGCCTTGGGAGTTTTGTTTTTGCTAGAAATTCTTTAAAATGGCCTTTGTACCAAAAATGTAAAGTATTTTGTATGTGACATTAGCATCTGAGGATCTAATGACAAAAATTTTTCTGTGCTATTATTGAAGAAAAGCTCCAAAAAAAAAATAGGGAAGTAGTATCAAAATGGCCAATACTATATCCTATTATGTATTTCTTAGCAAAGAAAGTTGCCAGTCCTTATTTTGGTTGAGTTTGCTGGCGAGATTAAAAATGGAGCCAATTTCCTGAATGGAGGGTGAGTGACAGCATGATGATGCATGGTTATGGAAGACAGTTCAGAAATCTGTTGTTGGGGCTCCTAGGAAGGACTGCTTTTTCAGGAAGAAGTGCATCCCAACCCCATCAAGTATGTATTGTGTGAGGCCTTGAGACTATGGGTGGCTCTCAGCCTCCCTGGCACGCCTGCTACAGGATAGGGAAGAGCTCACGGTTGGGAAGGTTCTTCTCACTGTGCCCGACATGTGCTATGTACTAGTTCCTGTGGCAATTTTTTTTTTCTTATAAGGTTTATCTGAAAAGCAGAGTTAGAGTGAGAGAAACAGATCTTCCGCCCAGGGTTGGGCAAACGCCAAGCCTGGCCCAGAACTCCATTTGGGAGTCTCAGGTGGTACAGGGGCCCAAGTACCTGGGCCATTGCCAGGGCACTCACTGGAGCAGAGTAGCCAAATGCTTGAACCAATGCCCAAATGGGATGCCAGCCTCACAAGTGGTAGTTTAACCTGCCAGTGCCGATGGTCAGTTCTTAAGACCATTTGGTAGGTTCTTAAAAAATGAATGTCAATTGTTGCAGTAGCTAAAGACTGGAAAAACTATTAAGTCATCAGGCTGAAGGAGGATGTGTCTGAATTATACCACCTGCATGGAGAATACATTAAAAATGTTTTCTCACACTTATATAAGGTTGGCTGCTCAAGTTCTTAGAGGCTGACCTCCCATCAAAGCTGCGGCTTCCTCCTCATTCCTCCCCTGGGGACTTGTCTCTGTGAGCTTGTAGGCCCATAACAAATCAGCTGACCAGTCTTCCCTACCCTCCACAGTACTGAGGTTTAGTTATTAATTAAAGATGGAGAAGAAGCAGCAGATGCTAGAATATTTATTGCCGATCTGTATTTATTATTGATTGTGTTGAGGAAGTTTCCTTTCTACCTGGCAAGATTTGCATGAATCTAGGACATTAGCTCTAACGTTTCATCTTAGCAACAAGGACAGCCATTGAAGTTTGTACATTAGAAGTGAAAACATAACAGGTGTTCTTCTCCCAAGCACATCAAACATGGTGTTTAAGATATTACTTTTGGCTTTTATAAAAATGTTTTTTAAGGATTTTATGTATTTGAAAGTCACAGCAAGAGAGAGAGAGAAAGATCTTCGTTCTTACAGTTCACTCCCCAGACAGCCATAATGACCAGGCCGGGCTGAAGCCAGGAAGCTGGCGTCTTTTCTGGGCCTTTCCTGGGGTGGCGTGTGCCCAAGCCTTTGGGGTTTACTCTGCTGCTTTTCGCATGCTATTAGCAGGAGCTGGGTTGTATGTGCCAGGACTCCTGCCCAGGTGGGATGTCGGCAGTGCAGGTGCTGGCTTTACACGCTCTGCCACAGTGCGGATTTGGCTGTAGTAATCTTAACATCAGCACAGGTAATATTCTGAATACAAGTTTAAAGTTTTAGTAATAGCGAAAGTAATTCTGTGTGTGTGACGTAAATGCACCATGGTTATAAGATCACTTTTATTGGTATATGGGTATATCTTTAACATTTTGATAGTTTTGCATTTAATTTGGAGGTTTGCAAACAAACCATGGCAAGATTTTCTTTTATTAAACCTGAATGAAATTTTAATATCTTTTAAGAGAACCATTGCTTACAATGTTATTATACATGTTTTTATACATGTGCTTGGCAATAATAAGATATGTAATATGTGAATGTTATTATTTTGTAATGAGTGCAATTTTATGTATATTAAGTTAACTTAAGCGTAAAAGATGAAGATACTTGTTTCTGAAGTATGCTGAACCTTAACTGATCTTATTCCAGAAGAAAAAATATAAATGAGGCGACCTCTAGTGACTGTAATGTGTATTGCACTTACCTTTGAAGTTTTGAATCATTTATTTATCTAGCAAATCTTTGAGTCTTTAATTTTTTTAAATTTTCTTTTTAATATTTTTTACATAGTTGAGAGGGCTGCCTGCCCATGTGGTCCTGCAGTTGGGGTGGGAGGGTCAAGTATGGAGGAAGGCGAGTGGAATAAATGTTTTAGTTATCTTTTCTCCTGTGTCCACAGGGGAGGAGAGGGCAGGACCACTCAGGGATGGGAGAGGGTCTTTCGATGACACCTTAGAGACCCCCATGTGGGGAAGAGTGTTCCAAGGGTGATGTTAGCTGAGTAGTGTTGCTAGTTCTGAGTGTCTTTGGCTTTGTTGTCCCAGGGTTGAGAAAATCTTTTCCAAAGTCTGTTGGTTGACAAAGTCCACATTGGCACATCTGCAGATCCTGGAACATGCTGCAAAGTTCGGCCAGCAGAATTGTCTGGCCTGTTCTGTGTTCTGTCCTCCGAAAAGGCAGTTGACATTCTCCTCTCCTGGTTTTTGTTTTCGATGACACTGGCTGGGCCTAGAGAAAAGCGACTGAGTGTGGATTGTTCTTGTTAAGACCTACTGATTTTCACGGTGACCGCCCAGCTTGCAATAAATCTCTGGAACATCATTTTATTGAGTTACAAAGGAAATACCCTGTGCCTTTTTCCCGCACCAGTAGTTGCCATCATATCTTGCCAAGTTAAAGGCTGCCAGATTCTCAACAAGAAATCTGTAAGTCATTCTTTACTGCAGTCTTCACGGAAGGTCTGCTCAGCTTCTTCCATAGTGTAAGTTGATCATTGACTTCCTTCTGTTAGCTTCCACTGTGTCAATTTATGGTCATCACCAATAATATCTTCCTTGGCCTACATTGCTTTACTTAGTTTTCTAACAATCTCTGTGGTTCATCTCTTTGGCTACTGTATTTCCATTTTTTCTGTTTAACCAGTGTAATATGTATTAGCATATACTCTGGCAAAATGTTCAATGTTTGCTTTATTTATTTAGTTTGTTTTTTTAAAGGCTTATTTATTTGAAAAGGAGAAAATTAGAGAGAGAGTGAGCAAGCATGCACTTCTTCCTGTTGATTTACTCCACAAATGAGGGCAACGGCCAAGTCACAGCCGGGGTCCTGGAACTCCATTCCGGTCTGCAGTGGATGGTGGGGACCCAATTACCGGGGTTGTCTTCTGCTGCTTTCCCGGGAATACAAGCAGGGAGTTAGATTAAAAGTAGAGCAGCCAGTGCTCGAACAGGTGCTCACAGAGGAGCAGGCTGGGTTTTTTTTTTTTCCTTAAAAAATATTTTTT